TCCTCTTATATGCTCGTTCCTTATCCTATCTTCTCTAGTCACTCCACTCATCCAACTAAGCATTCTCATCTCTGCTACACTTATTCTCTGCTCTACTTTCTTATCAACCGCCCAACACTATGAACCATACATCATAGCTGGCCTCACAATTTCATACTAAATTTAAAAACTATAATTAGTATTTATTCATATATTATATTTTAAAATCAAAGAACTACTAATCAGGATATAATTAAAGAAATAAGAGTTCATGTTGCTTTTAAAATATTTCACCAATTTCTCTAAAGGAAACACTATCTACAGATTTGCATCGAAGCGTTTCTTATGATAGTGATTTTAATCACTGTCAGATATCATCTATACTTGTCCCATCTATGCCTCGTCCACACTGTGCCTCGACCCCACTGTGCTACCGTTTTTTAATTTTATTTATTATTATTATCAGAGCTATGAATTTAAACATTTTGTTAAGTAAATTCTAGCACATCATCAGTCGGTACAAATTTTTATTAATTGATTTGTAGTAATACAAAAATAAGAAATGTTGTTTGAGTATTTTGACCAAGGTTGGATATTTGGGGATTTGGTCAATTCAGGAGCAACGAGGTTCTATCGGGGTTTGTAGAGTCCACGAGTTTAGAACAATAAAGACAAGTAGATATAAAAGAGATTAAAGTTCCTCTATATTGAGAAATAAAAAACTAATTATTTGATAAGCACCTTTAATAGGACACTGAGGCAATGAGGCGGTAATCCGACCCACCAATACCCACCCAGTCGAAGTGTCTATTAATACAGTCAGATACACATTAGGTTTTTACACTCTTTTCAGGCACGGGGTGGTAATCCGACCTTCGAGACCCTGTAATGTATATATGTATAAAGTGCGAATAAATTAGTAAAATTACTAAAGAGAATATTGGTCTATTGTTTTACCATTCTTTACTCGGATTATTAATTATAAATAATTGGGATAATATAAATTTACTTACTTTTTAGCTTATTTTAAAAATTATTTTTAATTTTTAGTTCGATATGCTTTAAAAGCGTGTTTTTCAATTTTTTAAACTATATTTATTTTTCACTTTTTATTTTTTTATGACATCGTTGTTACAGTGACGGAGTGTTTATTGTCAATTATGACTATCAATAGATGTAATTTCTGTATTGCCAGTTAGTGTGTTCATAAACTCACAACAATGTGTCTTATTACCATCGATAATAAAGGCTGTATGTTATACCTTGTAGTGGATTCCCACGACTGGTGTACTTGCCAAGTATACTAATAATTGTAGACTTGCCAAATCATCCAATTATTAACAAGTGGAGAGTTCCCATGACTGGTATACTTGACAAGTATACAAGTACTTGTACACTTATACAAGTAATAAACAAAAGCCAAGTATACTATTCCTACGATTGGATCAAATGCCAAATAATTGTATTGGGGGTGGGATCTGAAAAATATTAAGTCATGTATCATTTGCTTTTTTAGCGCTTTAGTGAATTATTTGAAATATATTCTTTGGTATTGCTAGTTTTGATACCTTTTAGTTTAATATTTTTTTAGTTAAGATAGTTCTTTAACTTTTACCTATAATTTTTAGTTTTTATTTATCTAATTAATCTTAAGTTAATTAATATGGCTATTTATGCTTCATACATAATTATGTGTGAAGAGTACTTCAATTACAAACAATTAATTGAAAAAAAAATAAGATGGTGGATGACCACAGCAACCACTTAAAAATAGAATTTTGATTGTGAAACATATTCAATATATAACATTAATACATTTATCTACTTTTTTTAGTAATTTGGCATTTCCAGTATAGCCTTTTATTTATTTAATACCTATATACATTATTCGCTAGCATTCTTATTATGATTACTGAAAGGTGATATTTACTGATATTAACGTAACGTGTTATCATTTTACTCAATTCTATGAGCCGGGTTGCAAAAAGAAAAAATTGGCCGATTAATTTATTTTCATTTAATTATAGCTATCGAAGCTTGAAATAAAACTGTTTATACACTTTAGTTTTACTATAAGTTTATAAAATAGAAAATTCTATTACTATATAATATTATTCAGTACTAAATTGCATTAATCTTGTTTTCGATACCCAACAACAATAGAAATTAAAGCAAATTTGAGAAGTTTCCCTAAAAATTAAATAAGAAAAACACGACAAAGTAAAACTAATAGTGTTTCATCTACGCATCGTATTATAACAACGTATATAATTTTTTACTTGTAAAAATGAAGGAGAATTTTACAAATAAAAACATTTTAATAAAATATTAAACTATCTAATAATATTTACTTTATACTGAATATTCATAAATTAATAAGTTATATAATTAATACATTATATAATCAACCTTAACTATTAAATTATATTTACAATTATACCATAAAATAGTTTTACCTATCTATTAAATTAAATCAACTAATTAGGCCAATATGAACTACCGCTATACTGTACAAATATAGGTGGCTGAGGGAGAAAAAATTATGTATTTTATATTTCTTTATGCGATGTGACGGTTTCAATAGGACGGTTCATTACCTCTATCATTACGAGTTTTAATTAATATTACTGAGTAATCATAATATAATATTATGTTTCAATTTATTTAACATATTAATTGAAAATGGAAATTAATTTATAATAGTGAATATAATATACAGATAGCTAATTGGTTTTTTATGACATTGCTGTAACTGTCACGGATTGTTTATTATCATTTATAACTATCAATATACAGGGTGTTCAGTAAGTCAGGAAACGGGTTTCTATTGTTCTCATTGTTTGTAACAATTTATTATTGTCATTGTTGTAGAACAACATAATTAATTGAAATAATATTTATTATCATAAATATATTTTTATTAATAAAAATATATATTAAATATTTTTTTTATGTTCATAAGTTAATAAGGAAATCTCACTCAAACATGAAGGAGCCTTAGCTCCCTATTTCCGATTATAGCTACTTCTACGAATAATTGATTTGTTTAATGAATTTATTTAATTAAAACGATTTTAATTCAAAATTATATTTTAGGTAAATATGTTTGTCTAAAAGGCAAGTGTAAGGGTCAAACCTTTCTTTTGTTATTTATGAACGTCCATTCGACCCACCGTCGCTAACGGATGGTTCCTATCATCCGTCGTGAACGAACGTTTTTTATTGTTCTAAACGGTCGTCCGTTTGATGTTTCATACGTTCCGAACGTGTTCACGAATAACGTTCGCCATATAAACCTATATGAAATAAAATCTGAACGTATACGTTCGTGAACGGACGATTCAAAAATAGACCCCCTGATCATTTCAACACCAAATATATATCATTAAGACTATGAAAATGACATTAAACCGTTTAGATGATAAGCAGTTTATATCAGAAGACCGTATTACTACCTACGCTCACGGTCATTATAATGCTCAAATTAATTATACATGAATTTTTAGGTAAATAAAACAACAAACATGTTATATGTTACTTATAAGGTTTATTTTAATAATATTCTACAATTTGTTTACATTATTATTGTGCTGAAAAAAAAAAAGGGATAGAGTAAAGACTATTAGTACCACTATGCGTATAAGGGTATAAGACTATACACAGGTATAGTAATGACAAGTCATTAACGTAAGTTTTTCATATAAATACCCTATACTCCGCTCTAAAAATTTAATATTTTCAATTGTATTAATTGCGCTTGTACGTTGAACACTTTAAACATGCAAATCAAGTCAATTTTTGTTTGTAAGTGTGTTGTTGCTGAAGCAGACGAACGGGAGCTATTCATTGAACAATTTGGACAGATACAACCGCGAGTCCATGATGACGGGTATTATTATGACCCATTGGAAGAAGAATATTTGCAGGCTGAAGATGAGTATGAGGAAGAAGAAGAAGAAATTGAAGATGGTATTGAGGATTCTGATGGTATGTATGTCAATATTTAACTTTGTAAACAAACTTCTTAACAATGCTGTTTTTTTTTTATTTTTAGATCCTGAACGGATCTATTCTGATCGTGACTTAAACTCTTACCATGCAGTTGGTCAACGATGAATCTATTTAGAGATGCATTTTCGCTTCAATCATGGGAGTTGGAATTAACAGAATTGCTTCAGAACGAATCTGACAGATTTGTTAGACGGCTGTACAATGACGTCTATAATATAACGTTGAATCGTGAACTAACGAGTAGCGTACCCGCGTTTTATTATAGACGTCATTTGTTTAGGCCAATATCAAATTTGTTGGGTCGGCTCGCAGAACCCAACCGTCTGGAACATTTGGCCCGTGCAAATCGTTTTTGCTACACCTATGAGGAGGTTAAACTCTCAATGAATAGGTGGAGTAGACATTTTGTATGGGCCAACTACAAAAAGGTCAACATCCGAATGGTAATTGACGGAAGAGCGGTGTCAACTCACATTTTTATTTGTAATACAACTAATAGCCAATGTGCGGAAATGATGGAGGTAATGGACCGTCCTATTGAAACCGTCACATCGCATAAGGAAATATTCAGACAGGAAAGCACTTTGCTTGAAATATGTAACTTTAAAAGATGTGCACATTGTCTTAAACGATTAAATATTTGGTTAAATTTTAATGACATGCAAAATATAATACAACGTTTTGTAAGACCTATCAACAATAATGACGATAATTACTATGTAATAATGTTATTTGATTATCTATTTTCATTAAATGAATAATACAAATATTTATATTTTAACCAAGGTTAATTTTTTTTTTTATTTAATATAATTTCAACAATAAATTTTTGTACATAATAATAATAATAATAAATTGTTTATTACAAATTTTTGTAATCTGTTTATTATTTTTAAATTAGTTTATAAGGTGTATCTACAAATCTTAAGTTTCAATGCTGTCTTCATTCCTAAAAAATAACACTATTTAATATATATTTAATAATTATTAGCATAATTATGGTATACGTACTACTCTAGTTTATAATGACCGTGAGCGTAGGTAGTAATACGGTCTTCTGATATAAACCGCTTATCATCTAAACGGTTTAATGTCATTTTCATGGTCTTAATGGTATATATTTGGTGTTGAAATGATCTGATTGACACATTTTCTCTGTATGGTGTATAAGTAGGGTACTTTACAACGGGACAATAAGGGTTCATGGCTCTCTCATGAATGTTGTTTACAACCATCGTGCCATATGTAGCCGCTGTTGCATGAGCTTCGCTTACTGCAGGCTCCTCTTCAGCATACAAACACCGTTTCAGGTCCTCGACTGTAAGATGATTTTTCACAACATGACCACGTATCCCTTTAGCCTTAATTTTTTCTTTACCCTCCAAATCAAAACCATAACATTTTGGTCTTAGACTAATAAACTCCAATATAGATTTCCCCGGCGCTTCGTCACTCCACAAACCAGGCACCTTTTTGTTAGCGTTTGAATAACACGGGTGACTGCTCGGCAAACCTGAAGTGTCAAGTCTAGCCAATAGATCAGGATTTTCCTTTGCCACCGCGTAAAAGTCATCACCCACGATAAAGTACACTAATGAATCTAAACAATAAAATCATTTAATTTTGTCAATAAAAACATCGTATAATAGTCGAGCACGGTCTTTGAAATATTTCTTCATTACGTTGTAATGGAAATCGTATACGAGAGTTTTACTAATTTCTAAAATTGCAAAACCTACGTATACTGGTTTACAAAAATCGATAATTTTATTTTCCAATACAAACGCCGATAAATTTCCACTGTACGTTGTACAATGTTTGAAATTATGCTTTCTAATTAATTTAGCCGCTCGTTTAGGATTGTTGACCAATTCCATTTGCGTTCTAAATTGTACACGTTCCATCATTTTACCTGTTAACAAACGAAATCGCATTAAAATTATATTTAATTATATATTTTTATTTAATTTTAAAACTTACCAAAAGCAGCGTTGTTCATTAATTTAAAAAAGTCTTTTTCAAAATCATTTTTGGCTTTCTGTCTCTTCTCCGTGTTGAGTTGTATATATTTTGATAGCCATGCCGACTGCTTAAATTGTAACACCTTATGCACCTGTAATTTAATGACATGTTATTATTATTATATTTTTAAAATTATAATTTTATGAATTACCTTTTCTACTTTTAATCCGTTTGCCATAGCCTGTTTTAAATTTAGATAATGTACAACGTAGTTTTCTTTCCGATCGAAAGTAGACAACAGTTTTTTGACCCGTNCCGATTGAAAGTAGACAACAGTTTTTTGACCCGTGAATTAGGCGGACATTTTCGTTCAGGTAGAAACGGCATTTCGTTGTGGGCATCATGTAACTCTTTCGGGTACGACACCGTCACTTCAAGGGCCATTCCTATAGGAGAATCCGCAGGTAACTCTTCCACAGTCTTTAAAATTTTTGTTTCGTCGTCTACGACTAACCACTTAAAGTCACCACATGGCATATGTTGAGACATACTCCAACCATACAAATTATTGACATCCAAATATATAATTTCAGATTTTTGTTGTTTAATATCATAATGAGGCGTCTTTTCATTGTTGGCTGTGGCATGTTTCAACACCGAAGTTGTCATTCCTCCCCGTATTCCTCTCTCAATAAAAAGTTGCTGTTCATAATCACTCATGAGATCTAGTGAAACGCCCGTATGCAGCAACATAGCGTCAAAAGACAGACCGGGACTCGTAAAATAATATGCCGGTTCCAATTTATATTTTAGTAGACATAACTTGCGAAAATTCGTAAAAACATCCGCAAGTATTGTTACGTCAGTTTTCAGATACAGATCAGAGTACTCACCGAGGGTTTTACAATTAAAATGTTGCCAGACATTTTGTGCGTGTTTGTATTCGGCATCATCTATATGTGTTTCTGACAGATCATTATAAAAATCGGCTTTTGACGGCAATTGTTTTTCTTCGAGTACATTCCAGCTTGAGGTGTATGAATACGGATACACGCCTTTACGGGTCACTAAATCAATGTCACCGTCCGATGAAAACGCTTTTGCGGTTTCTTCGAATAATTTTATGTCGGCGGCGCGCAAATTTTCAGCGAGAGCCGCTAAACTAGTACCCATAAAACGAAATGTATCGACGAACCTTAGCGAAAATTTGTTTGAAACAAATTTTGAAAAAGAAATATATTTTTCTTCTATAGCGGGTATTACACTGATTCTACTAGTGTCTCTTCCAAGGGCTTTAACTAAAAAGTGTCCGTCGTACGAGCTAAGATTATGGAAATATACTTTAACAAACTTGGGCGTTGTTAATTTTAAATTGCAACTGTTACAAAGCGTTTTTCTAAAACTACCCGAAACGAATATAAATATATACATAAATTTTTCTTTTTATATTAATTACAATACATTTAACATAGTTATGTTTATGATTTACCTGTCAAATGATCATGGTCTGCTACATTATGATTTTTCTCTGTAAAACCAGCCTTACACAAGTCACAGCAGGTTTTCTTTATATGATCTTCAGTTTCTTTATGTGTCATACAAATATCAACATTCGTCTTGAGCAACTCTTCAATTTTCAACGCCGCTTCAGTTACATCATCCATGAAACGATTGACTACTTCCTCCGGCTCATTGATTTTATTTCCTCTGTATATTTTGGGCGTCGTTTGAATATTATACTGTTGGAATAATTCTATGGGTACACTGTCGGCTGCTTTTATTATGTTTCCATAGCTCATTGCAACATGATCATGTATATAACTTGTGTTACCTTTCGTATCATTGTTGGACTTGACCAACAGGCTTTCAAAATCAGCATAAATTGCAAATGGATGTTCCTGTGTTTTGCCCTATGACTCGAACTTTAATTTAGTGCTCTCTTTAGGCATTACAGGTAAAAACGGTTTGTTTTCACCACAAATTTTTTTATGTTCTTCTAGCGCCTCAACTCCATGTAGTTTATATTTTTTAGGTATATTATTAAAGCCCGTGAAACACCGTTTACAAAATATCTTTTTTGCCGTATTCTTTGTTATTTGTGATTGTACTAATCGACTAAAATCAGTGATATAAGTGTAATGACTATTACCCGCGCCGTTTGACACAATTAACAAATCAATATGGTCTTTACGTTCTTCAGCGCACACTTTCAGCGGATAAACTAAATATTTGGATTTATTATGTAAATCTTTCAATTTTAGTCCGTAAACATTGACTGAAGTATGCGGATTATTTTTTTCGAAAATTTTTTTGTCTGAAATCGGTGTTGGAAATGATAAACCGGAGAAATTATAAGAGTTGTCTATAGACTTATAATTCTGACCTACTATACAGGTGGTCCATCACTCACTGACAACTTAAATAACTTTTGATCCAGTTAATATTTTTAGTTGATTTTTTTTTTAAATAATAGTTATACGTTAGGTCTATAGCTATATCTTAATAATTAATTTTTTTACATTTTATNGATATGCTGTTATTGTGAAAAAATTCTGGGTTTTGTATTTTATTTTAAAATACCTGACAAGGGGAGTACACAGATTTTCATAAATATTATATAAATTAAATTGATATAGCATAAAAAATTTAACTTATTTAAATTTTTTTGTTTTTTTAAAGTCAAGAAAAATAACTTTGAAATTTGAACTAGCTTAAATAGTTATTTTTTTCAATCGACGTTAGCGACGAACGGTTGCCGAGTCGGTAAAACTTGTAATTGCGCGCTTGGGGTACAAATTTCCAACCCGCATGTGGCAAGGAATTTTTTGCATTATTTTCTTAATTCTTTTTAAGTTAGAATAAATTTTCAACTGCTTTGATTTTTATCTCATTTAGATTCATTAACTTCAACAAAGATCAAGGATCCCATTTAAGTTTTAGCTTCATTGCAAAGCTGAGAAGATATTTTTTTATAACTATTTTTTCTGCTCTAACTTAAACCTACTTTTTTCAACGATACATCAAATGACTACAATTCGTATCTAGTTGAAGATATTACCCTCAAAAATTGAAAAAAATATTCTAATCTATCAATTAAACAGTTACTTATCCCATGTTCTCCATACAGACATTCAAAATCATTCATTTCTAATGTTTTCAACGTATTTATTGACGAATCAAGTTTGTACAATAGGTTTCAACTACAAAACTAAATCATTTTACTTTGTAATTTAATAATATTTTTACTCTATTTGTGTGTGCTACTACTAGACAATATTATTACAATTTTTTTTGTAACATGTTACTGTATAAATCATTTCTAAAAAAAATAAATTTTTATAAATCTAACCCTTTACCTGCCCACAAGAGGGATTTAAAATAAAAACTTTTTTTTTTTAGTTAAAGTAAATCATTAAAATTAATTCAGTTCTGGATATTTCAATTGTAGAATTTTATTGATTTGTACAAAATGTAAGGTTTTTCCGTCAAGTTAAATTTTTTTATTGACCTCTAAACTTTAGTTGATAATAATTTTTCAGAAAAAAAATCTTAACTTTCTACTTAACTATTTTTGGGTTTATTCTTATAATTATGAAATTGCTACCAATAGGTAGATAACTTTGAGAAAAAATAAAAGTTGTATTGTATTTTTTACATGACAAATAACTGAATTTTTAAAAAAATTGATTTAAAGCTAACAAAATTGAAAAAAATTGCAATTAAATTTTTTATACAATTTATTTTAGTACAGTTTTTAAAGAGTTTGAAAAATATTTGTCATATAAAATAATATAATATTTAAATTAAATTCCAACATTTTTTTGGTAAATTTTTTCAAACTTATCTGTTTTATATATATATTTTTTTAAATTGTTCTTTTTCTGATTATTTACATGTAAAATACAATATACTTATTTGTGTATTTTTGAATTCTTCACAAAATTATCTATCTATTAATGGCAATTTTATAATTATGATGTTAATGTCATTCATAATTATAATTTTTTGCTAATTATCCATTAAAAAATATATATCGATAAAATATATATACATATATTTTATTTATTATAAATTATATGAAAATTAAAATAATAAATTATTACTATTCTTAAGGTTAAACTGGGTACATTAGATGCTACTGTACATTCATCAAAAGCTCAAGAGCATCAAATTAGAGGTTATCCAACAATAAAATTCTTCCCATCAGGCACATCTAGTTCTAGTGGAGCTGAAGAATATACAGGTGGTCGAACATCCAATGATATTATTAGCTGGGCATTGCAGAAACATCAAGAAAATGTACCACCTCCTGAAGTTTTTGAGGTACTAAATTTTGTATAGTTTATGTTTTTATGCAGGTACCTTTATGTTTTTTTTTTTTACAAAAAAAATTAATTGATTCAGAATAATGAAATTTGATGAAAATAATTTCATCTATTTCTCTTTATATAAAACAGAATAAATAAATATGACTGTTTTTTAATATAATCGATGTTATGAGAACAAACATTTTTTTTAGTAAGACAATTATTTTTCATACAATCAATGAGAAAATAAGATAATTTTCTTTCTTTGATTTTTTTTTTTTAAATCTGAGACTTAAAAAATTTTAATTATATTTTACATATAATTATTTGATGTATTGTTAAGTTTAAAATTGTTGCCAGATTAAAGAAATTTTACTTTAAATGAATTGGTTAAGCATATTTTTTATTGAAGGTAAAATCTATATATTTAGAAAAAGTAAAACAAATTTTTCTTATTTTACCGAACTTATTTTTTTTTGAATCTTGAAAATTGTATAAGATTTTTGTTTTATATAGTACTTTCTGAAATTTAATCTACATTTTTATATTGAAATAAATAATTTACCTTTAATCAATCATATTATACTAGATTATAAATGAAGATACCTTCAAGCCTGGATGTTCAGAATATGCTTTATGTGTAATTACTGTATTGCCTCATATCTTAGATTGTCAGTCCAGTTGTAATGAATACATCAAAATGTTGCGCTCATTGGGAGATAAATTTAAACAAAAGCTTTGGGGGTAAACTACATCACTTAATTATATTAGAAAATTATTACTTTTTAATTTTACTTAAAAACATTTACTGTCCTTATTCTTTTGTGATTACAAGTTCTTATTTTTTCAGATGGTTATGGTCTGAAGCAGGAAATCAGTCTGAATTGGAATCATCATTAGAAATTGGTGGATTTGGTTATCCTGCATTAGCAGTTTTAAATGTTAAAAAAATGAAGTACACTATTTTAAGGGGATCTTTTTCAAAAGATAGCATTAATGAATTTTTGAGGTTTATATATTTTTTTTATTAAAAATTATTCAGTTTTGATAATTTGTTAAAAAAAAAAGCTAGGGATTTATCACATGGACGTGGACGAACAGCTCCAGTCAGAGGTGCTGAATTGCCTAAAATTAATACAACTGAACCTTGGGATGGAAATGATGGTGAATTACCCCAAGTAGAAGATATTGATTTATCAGATGTTGAATTAGATGGTCCTTCTAAAGAAGAATTATAAAAACTGTTATACTAACTCTATTTATTTATTTTTTTAAGACTGAACAAGTTCTATATAAATATTAATATCTAACCACTCGGTCCTATGACTTTTCATTAGTCTAAAACAGCTATTTTCAAATCAATCCTATTTTAACAAAAATCATTTTAACAATAATCCCACTTTTCCATTATAATTTAATGTTAAGTAGAATTTTGTAATATGAAAATCAAATTTAATTATACTTCCATAGTTGAAATTAATTAAGTATTAGAATATTAAATTTTTTTTGTATTAAATGAAAAAAAAAAATTAGTATAATTTTTATTTTATTAAAATAACTTGTTATTTATTCTAAGTCTCTTCCATATGTTATAACAATGATATAAAAACATTTAAACTAAACTAAATTTAAAGATTTTAAATATTTTTAAACTAATAGTTTTGCCTAAAACAATTAAAAATATTTTTATGGCTATTATACCTATTTAAACTTTTTCTAATTTCTCTTTACTTATATTAAATTATTTTATAGTTGGTGTAATATTTAAAGTTGAATGTTAATTTTATATATCTAAAATAAATTCTCAAAGTAATGTGCCAACTATATCCATTAATTAATCCCAATAATAAAATAATAATAATAACACTTAGAATTTTATTTTAATTATTCATTGAATGGATATCATTTAACTCAGTGTAAAATTAAAATAAAACAATAAATTTTTAAACAGTGCATATTTTTATTTAAGCTCCCAATTTTATTAAATTGATATTGATTAATATGAAGTACATTTTAATTTGATTCTTACAAAGTTTTTTTAATTAAATCATTTTTTTCACAATTTTATAGCTCAATAAGACATGAAGAGTAGGTTACTTAACTATGGATAATTTAGAATATGTGGTTTAATACTTGTCTTGCTTAGCAAACGGAACTACTCGTAACCAAGTCTTAAACCTAAACTTACGTACATCAGATAGTACCGCATACCAATTAGACAACACCTCCCTCTAAGTTATATGATACTTTANAATTAGACAACACCTCCCTCTAAGTTATATGATACTTAATGAATTATCAAATTAATCAATTACTTTAAAGTAGAGGTGAATAAAAAAAGTTAATTTTTTTAAATAAAATATGTTTTTAATTTTAAAAATAGAACAGTATGTATAATAAATAATTGATGTATCAAAAATAACTAATTAATAATAATAATTTTTTTTTAAATTTAGAGTATCAAACAATTAAAGAAAAATTAATAAAATAAAATTACTCATAAGTAAATGCTATGATAAATATAATTAATCAAACTTAATATGTGCTGTACGCATATCATCAACTGTTCCTTCCACAATCAAATTTCTGTCGTCATAATACCGTAGTAAACTTTTCCACGTAGGGTTTTTAACCAAAAAGTTAGCGTTACCAACTAAAAAAAGACCAAACTTTGCACGCGTAAGTGCCACATTTAGCCGACGGACACAGTTCAGGAAACCAACGACGTTTCTCTCGTTCGAGCGGACACACGATATAATAATGTACTCCTTTTCACGGCCTTGAAAAGCGTCCACACTACTGACTTCCACCCCTTTGTTCTTGTTTAGAATTTGTTTCAAAAGTGATCGCTGTCCTTCATATGGAGTTATAACACCAATTTGATTTGGAGTAGCTCCTTTGCTAAGGAGTTTGGCTACTAGTTGTTCAACAACTTTCGCCTCTCCATAGTTCAAGAAAGACGTGCCCGATCGCGATTTTCGTTCGTTGGCATCGGAAGAGTAAAATACCATCGGCACATTTGGGTTAGGCCACGTGAAATCAATCGACCCAGTTCGGTCGCTACAAGTTACGCCGTTCCTAATCGTACTCTCGTACATAGTTTGTGAAGCGTACTCGCTGATCTCGGGGTGCATTCTGTACTGTACAGTTAAACGAAATGGTTGTAGGCCAGCAGCTACCAATCTCTCGAACAGAGAACGATGCAGACCTCCGTTTCTAGTGTCCGGACACGTAACAACCGGCCCCAACTGACAGTGGTCACCTATTAACACCACTTTTTTGGCTCCGTGGGTGATTGGAATGATGCATTCCGGTTCTAAGCCTTGAGCGCATTCATCCACGACCACCGAAGAAAAATTGATTTTTTCTAAACGGTTGTCGCCGGCGCCGGAGCAAGTTGTGCACACCACTCGACAATTCGCTAGACAGTCGATTTCCGCCATTCTTCTCAGATAATTGTAGTCCCTTCTCTCATTTGGGCTCAACTCGACACCTTGATCAATCTGCCCTTGAAGAGTTTTAAATTCTGAATGACCAGCAAGCTTTTTAATTTGTTCACTAAGATATATATTTGAAAGATCACTTTTAACCGTCTCTTTCGTTTTTTTCACGAGTCTCACGACATCGATGCCTGTTTTAGCCACGGCATTTGCCAAGTTATCAACAGCGTTGTTCGACGGTGCACAAACTAATACGGTTCCGGACTTGGACAGATTGTATACAATATTGGCACAAGTAACCGTTTTTCCAGTACCGGGAGGCCCTTGGATTAGAGAAACTGGCGTGCGTAGGGCATGGCTCACAGCAGACAGCTGTGACTCATTCAAACCAGGTAAATTGGGAGCTAATAGGCTGTTATCTGTCAGATTTTCGTCACGTTCGGGTGAATGTTGTTGTTGACGTCCGAGCAACATTGATCTTACTTCAGGTGAAACAGATTCGTACTTGTAAGAAAAAGTAGCAAGTGCCGCTT